CTCCAGCGTTTCGTGGGGATTAAAGCAATATGAGCTGCATTTTTGAGAACTTTATTTTGCTGGTAAAATGTGTTATTATGATAAATCTGTATGTAATCTAAACCCTTATGATCAATAAAAACCAAAATAAAGTTTTAAAATGTTGCAGAAGAAATATTTCTGTACAACCGAATATACAGTATTACATACGAAATCATTATTGTACAGGACAATAATTCAATTTTGCTTCAAACAAAGCGTATAAAAAGTTCTTTCATAGCAAATATGAACAATAGAAGCTTATAAATGTTCTATTTTTCTGTCATTGACATAGTTAATTACAAATTTCCAATCATGCAGCTCATATTGCTTTAAACTTTTTAATGCTTTTATTCCTTCTTTCAAAACCCTATTATATACATACATGATGAACTACCTGTAAATATAGTGTTGATTTCATTTGATCTTTGTTTTTGTTCCAGAATAAACGCATCAATGAAATCATCGATGTGATTCTCGTCAAAATGTCTTCTATGCTCCTCTATTATTTCATCAAGAAATGTCCTTGTAGCACGAATATTTTCTAAAACCGGATCAATGTTAAAGATCTTGATGTTGCGTAAAGATGGAAACAGAAAAACTGATGAAGCTGTAGTGACACTGCTGAACGATTTGGACAACAGATACATTAAACGCTTGAATCTTGTGTCATCATAGTCAAACCTTTTACCGAATAAAAGCGAACAGATAACATTAGCTGTGGATGCTTTCAGTACATTTTGAATATCAATAGCCTCGTTTTCATATTTTTCCAATTTCTCCATCAAGCAGTCTACTTCTTCCATTATTTGGCTTTCCATGGAACGTCTGCCGAATCCCAATTTACGCAACGTTATCAGTGCAAACGATCTTGTTTCTCTCCAAATCAGACCTGATGACCATATCACACCTAGAAAGGTAGTCAGAAATTGCGATCCAGGTATTGAGAATGTTGATAAAATTTTAAATCAAATCAAATCTAAATGATCATGTAGGACGTGAAAACCTTCAATTGTTATGCTTTAACTATTTGCTTTCATTAAATTAATTGATTTTATCAAAATTCTGTAATGATCAGAAAAATAAATTTGAAAAAAAAACCTTTTACATATTTAAATGCACACGGTGACAAATTCATCCATAATAAAAGTAAATTATTGTTGTGTACAAATCGCCACCGGTTTCAATAGCTTGAAGATGAACTGCAAAAGACGTGACTTTCATATTCTAGAAGAAACAGAAATGTACTTTAAATTTTACCATTTCCTTCAACAAGATCAGTGGCAAGAGACCTTGGTCGCTCAGAGAAAATATCCCCGTGTTTAACAAGTAGCGTCCGAATGTTGTTGAATCCGTGTACAAATATGATAGGTTTATGGAAGATCATTATGGTATAGATGTCTCCATAAATCTTCCTCAGTCTCCTGTGAGCTGTCACAGCCTCTGACGGTTTGAAGAGTCCGACATTTCCGATGATGGGGTAACATGTAGGACCAGGCGGAAGTCCTTTTGGTCGTCCGGTCAGGCTCCATATCAAAGAGACTAAGACAACAACAATGGTCAATATTACCCACATAATGTTAAATGTTCTACATGGTGCCCTACATTCATTGAACCATAATGTATGGTTGCATTTCCGAGCTAAAACTAATTATTTTTTATCCCGTTTTCTAATTTATCTTCTTGTTCTGCCTATAGAGCAGAGTGACACTTGGGCTCATTTTCCCTGACATTTGTCTGTCTGTCTGTCCGTTTGTACGTCTGTCACACTTTATATACTGAGAACTGTTTTTAAAAATACGCCAAACTGTTATATTTTCTTAATAAATTGGATATGTGCTTTATATTTGTGTTCCCTGTGAAATGAATACTATAATAATACCGAAATTCCTTCCATTTGTCTTAATTTTCAAATACATTTTTTTAAATGAAAAAAACATTTTTAAAGTTTCTGGATACACTGGCTCCAAGTGTGAACCCCATTTTATCGTTATGAAATTCTACAAAATTGTTAATCTGAATGTAACACAAGTTATGTATTATAACATGTAAATGATCCCAGTGGTAGAGGATTGAGGAAATTAAAAAAATATGAATTTTTGAAGAATTCCACGCTACCAACGTTAGCGCATTATTAAAATTTGTTTGAACACACCGTTGCAATTATGTTCTTTTTAAAAAAAGAATTTGTAATGAAAAATGAAGATGAACGTTATTTTTAAAAACAGATATGCATTTACACTTCTCTATAAAACCTGAGATAATATCTATTCTTGTATGTATGTGTAATGGAAGCAAGTACATATGTATACATTAAAATGCAATCTATGACGTTGACGACATAGTTTTGTTTTGCTTATATAATAATAATAATAATAATAATAAAACTTTATTTAAAGAAGGTAACCTGGTTAGTGCATGCACTATTCTTCCCCAGGGCCCTCTATACATCAATTACAAAAAGATACAAGATACAATTCATCATATATAATAGGAAATACAATCACAAATTATGGATACAGTGTCCATGTACAGAAATATGACAATACAGAAATATGACGATCATAAACATATGCTCAAATAATTGAGCGACAGCTGATAATGTAATTTTCTACATTACGTTTAAATGCTTGTAAAGATTGAGAGAGTCTAATGTATTGTGGAAGTTTATTCCATAGATGTACACCTGAGTACTGAAAAGAGGTCTTGAATAAGTTTGTATGAAATTTTGGTAATTTAAGATCGTAATTAGTTTCAGATCGCAGGTTATAGGAAGTTGAAGAATGAAATACAAATAAATTATGAAGATATTCGGGAGTCATTCCGCTGAAAATTTTGTATAATAATATGTATTCGTACAGATCAACTAGCTCATAAATAGTTAACCATCCAAGTTTCTCAAATAGTGGTTTAGATGAAGAATCAGGACTTGCATCAAGAATAATCCTTGCTGCCCTTTTTTGTAGTTTAAATAGTCTGTCCATGTCCTTCTTAGGGGCATTACCCCAAACAGTCAAACAATAGTTAATAGATGGTAAAATATAAGCATTGTAATATAGTTTCCTGGTATGAAGAGGGAGAAATTTTTTAATCCTACGAAGAGTAAATAACTTATAATTTAAAGTTTTACAAACCGAATCAATATGATTCGCATACTGTAACTTATCATTAATATGTACACCAAGAATTTTTTCAGTTTCAACCATTTCAATTGTTTTGTCTGAGGCATAAAGTTGTAAATTTGGATTTTCTAGTTTTGATTTTCTTTGTTGTGTTCCCATTAACATACATTTCGTTTTATCTACATTTAATACCATTTGATTTTGAGCACACCATTTCTCAATTTCACAAAGATCTGAATTTAGTGTATTTTCTAAACATCTTGCATTATGATTATTAGAGTACAAAGTAACATCATCAGCAAACATATCAATATTTGAATTGTTTACATGTAAAGGAAGGTCGTTTATGTACAATAAAAATAAAAGTGGACCTAAAATTGACCCTTGTGGTACTCCTGCTGTGACGGGTAGAGTATTGGAGACACATGTTCCAAATTTAACACACTGGGTCCTATTGTAAAGATATGATTTAAACCACTTTATAGCTGTTTGGTCAAATTTGTAATGGGTTAATTTCTCTAGAAGAATGTCATGATTCACCAAGTCAAATGCTTTACTAAAATCTATAAATGTAATTCCAATTAGTTCACCACGATCCATTGCATTAAGCCAACTTTCTGTTAGTTTTGTAAGGGAAGTTTGACAAGAATGGAGTGCCCTAAATCCCGACTGGGATTGTGTTAGAAGATCGAATTCATTAGTGAAATTTTGTATTAGCTTAGCTACATGTTTTTCTATCAATTTAGATACAGTTGGTAGAATAGAAATAGGACGATAATTATTCGGGTCAGCTTTGTCACCTTTCTTAAAAATAGGTGTTACTTTGGCTTGTTTTAAATTTGTCGGGAAAATACCACTTACTATGCTAGCATTAACAAGATGAGTTATAGGTTTACATATATATTTAGATGCGACTTTCAAAAGACGCGGCCCAATAAAGTCAATGCCAGCTGATTTATTGACATTTAGAGAATTTAACATGTTAAAAACTTCACTTTCCTCAATTTGATGAATAGTAAAGAAGGTTTCCTCATCAAGCTTAGACCTAACAAAATTACATAATATATTAGGATCATAATCATGTTTAGGCATTTCCAAAAGAAGCTTGTTAGAGACATCTGTGAAGTGGGTATTAAAAGTATTTGCAATATCCTGTAGATTATCAACAATTTCCCCATCAGAAAATACATGAGATGGAGTTATGTTCTTTGAATTACATGTTAATTGATTAAGATAGTTCCACATTTCTTTGGGATTTGAGCTTTGTTCAATCGCTGTTTTATAGTAAGAAGATTTTGATTTGTCTATAAGAAGTCTAACTTTGTTTCGATAGAGTCGATAGTTCTCCATATCTCCTTCTTTGTGGTAAGAGTCACGTAAGTGTCTAGCATTGTTTATTTCTTGTGTCAACCATTTAGGACGAATTTCACTCTTTACTCGTTTGGTTTTAATCTGAGCATGCTGGTCAAGTACGCTATTGAATAATTCATAGAATGCAGTTAGTATTTCATTAGGGTCATGCAACAGGAGGAGAATGCTAAAGTCTACATCTTTTAAGTCTTGGAGGAATTTATTTTCATCAAACTTTTTGAAGTCTCTATACTGAATTTCTATGTGTTTTCCTTTTTGTTGCATGCATTTTGTTTTTCTAGTGGCACATATTGGGTAGTGATCAGAGATGGCTATAAAAGGTACATTTACTTCACACATGTTATCTGGTTTATTGGTGTAGAAGTGATCTATTAAGGTACTTGAGGTATTAGTTACTCTGGTTGGTGCTGTAATTAATTGTGAAAAACCAAACTCCTCTAGAGCATATGTCCAACTTTGTGGGGGTTCTTTGAATAAGTCTACATTAAAGTCACCTGTTAAGATAATTTCTGCATCGTCACAGCAGGAGGCACGGTTAATCTCTCTAGCTAGGTCCTCCGCCCAGCAGGAGGGAGCAGATGGTGGACGATATGCTGAACAGTAATAAATTGGTTTAGAATTCTTTGTATTTAATTCTAGCCAAATTGTTTCAATATTACCAATTTCAAAATCAGTTCTGCGATTGTATTTTATATTTTTAGAAATGTATACAACAATTCCACCACCTGCCCTCAAAGTGCGGTCCTTCCTTTCCATTTCAAAGCCATCAATATTTAACTCAGAATCACTAATATTTTCATTCAAAAAGGTTTCACAAAGTCCTAGAATATTAAGAGATTGTTTGTTTTGAAGCATAATTTTAATTTCTTCAATTTTTGGCATTAGGTGGCAAATGTTAAGGTTTCCAAATTTTAAACCTTTTTTCATCAAACCAAATTCATTATTGCTTGTTATATTTTTACTTTCGGTTACAAACACATTAGATTCGTCTGATTGTGAAACCTTCTTGACAGTAGAACTATTGATATTTCTATAAGCCTTAGTAAATTTATAAGAATTAGTTAACGTGTTTGACTTAATACTAGAATTCGGAACAAATGCACATGAATACTCATTATCACGACATAAACAATAACCCTCATTACATTCCGAGCATAACCTATTAAGAAGAGAATATACATTATTGTCATTAATTATCCCACGGGAATAGGTAACGGCTACACTTTCATTGCCCGTTTCCTAGTGGCTATGCGGGCAGAGCTTGGTTTTGTGTCCTAGCTCTCCACAGTTCCAACAGTCCAGCTTTCTCCCATGCCTGCAGTATCGCGATATATGACCACTTTCCCCGCAGAAATAGCAGAAGGTTGAACGGAAGGAATCATTGCCAGCCGATGTTGTATTTATTTTGACATTGTCGCGCACATTTCCTTTTTTCAGAATATTCACATATCCTTGGTAGATTTTCAGCAGTGCTGCGGTACCTCTGTCTGACAGGTGGATTCCATCTTTCCAGTAGTATCCCTGTTTGAACTTTCCATCTCCAAAGATTTCTGAAGTAGGGATCACAGTGACACCATACATTTCACACACATCTTTAATAATTGCATTAACATCACTGACATTGGTATCTCGCCTAGCCAACACTTCTGAAATAAACACACGTGCACTGGGATTCCGATGTTGGAGGTCCGCGATTATTTCCGCAAAATCATGTTCAATGCCCTCTGCATTACGCCGCCTTGAAACATCATTTCCACCAGCTAAAACAATAATATTTTTATATGATGACACATCCATTTTTGTAAGTTTTGTCCTTATGTTAGAGATGGTTGCTCCTCGGTTTGTGCTGACCTGTACACTAGAATGCAATCCTCTGGTACGGATCCTTTGTAAAATGGAGCTCCCTATGATGAGGACAGATTTGTCCTTTGGTTTCTTTCCAGGTTGATCTGTGGGATTGGGCAAAGCAGGAACAATCTTGATCTCAGGAGGCTCGGTGATATCCGTCATGGTACTACTACTGGTTAGGGGCACTTTAATGTCATACTGACTATGCCTTGATACACCTGGCCCAGGAATTTTA